GCATCTGAGAAAAGTATTATCTGTTTATAATGGATACAGTTAAACAAATCGTTTTAATTTCAGACTGTAGTGAGAGCTCTGAATTGTACTTTTCCTAAGCATTTTGTTCTGATTGCTAATGACTTACAACAATATGGTACTATGTTACAGTGTGTGATGAAGTATATCTAGGTGCCTTTTAGAGGGTGTAGACTGTCCTGGTGCATAGAGACTAATGTGATGACATCATAGATATAGCAAGAAGGATTCAGATGTTCAGAGGGAAAAAAATCTGTTAAATAGAAAAGAATAATTTAAATTATTCTTTTCACTGCACCACCCCAATTACTATTTGTACTGGTGATATTCATTGGTTTGACTTTGTCAATAAATCAAGAACTTTTTAACTTTTTTCAGGAATTTTAATACTTGTAACTTGTCTCTTTGCTTTTTGTTTCTGTTTGAGACTCAGATGTTTTGTTTCATTTACTCTGGAAGGGGAACGTTTGAAAAAAAATCAAGAAAGATCAAAATTCCAGTAAATTCAGGACTTTTGTTCAGGAATGTTAAACACCAAAGGAGGGTTGATTTCATGTGCAGATACTCAGTTTACTTAAATTACTCAGTATACAGTACTTATAGGAGGTGGCAAGACAACTTCATTGAGCAAATAATTGTGCAAATACAGTTGACTCAACTTACACGCTCTCAATTTATTCAGTCACAACTTTACGCGGTTGGCTTGGGAACATTAAAAATAGTGATAAAAATCCTTTATTCTCTCAAAAATTGGTCACACCTACAAAAGCTAGTTAGTGACCCTGTACAGTCATCTTATTTGCTTTTTACTGTTTTTACACTTATATTTAATATCTTGAATTACCGTAAGAGGTTATTAAGGGGCTTTATAAGAGTTATAAAGTAGCATTTGTGACTATAGAGAATATGGCTTTATATGCTACTCAAAATCCCTAACCCCAGCATAAATTGTGACTCAACTGTAGATGTATATGATATTCTGTGCAACATGAAGTAACATACAGTAGTTGGTCATGTAATCTGAAAAAAAAACTAAATGGTTTAAACTGCAGGTACATCCTTATATCAAGGCACCTCCCCTCCACATCATGTGTGCATGCATGATGCCAAAAAATATCTACATGGGCATAACAGTCTGTTATGAGTTAAAGAAAGCCAATTAGTTAGTTAAGGAATTAGTTAAGGACAGCCAGTATAAATATAAAGTTCTGTAATATCAAAAATGGACAGTTGGTTCATCAAACTCTTTCTTTACCTGTAAAGAAGCTGCAACACAAGAATTTGGGGATTTCAATTCTGAATTAAATGAAAGAAAAACAAAAGGAATGAATTATCTCTTGTATTTTTCTGCATTAGAATCAACAGCTTTTCCTTGGTTCACACTCAGTGTTATCAAAGGAGACCCCTGTTCTACATACAGGTATTTTTACTGTTTGGACATTTTAGATTCATCTTCCCTTTGCGGTGGAAATACCAATGATTCCTCTCCTGTTCAAGAGATGACTATCTCCCCAGCTTTAGTGTGCTGTTTTTTAAAGCTCTGAGGTCATTAGAAGTAAAAACAGCTGCACTCAGCTCATGTGGGAGTAGTACATATATAGGACTAAGAAAGGACTGTGAAATGTTACCAAGGGATTATTGAAATAAACACGCATGATAAGTATAAACAACTCCCACAGTGAACTTCCTGTTTTCCTTAATTAACGTTCCCTGTGCAATACCTGTATACTTGGGACAGTTGTTTTTTTTTTACCTTTGGTCTTCTGCATTATACCTTACTCTGTCTGAAACAATTTCCTCTCTAACTGTATGGGGAGTAACACATTTGCTACCTGTTTTTGTCTTAAAACGTTTTGTACCACTGTTGGTATGAGATATAACCCCACAAGTTAAAACTGTAATCTTGTTATTTGCTACAATTGAAACAGGAATATTTCATCCATTCTTCTCGTGTCATGTGTCAGTTTTCTTCGGTGATGGTTGATGGACAGTAATTTTCAAGTCTTGTTAGATATTTGTTATCCACCTTATTCACCTTTTGATAAGCCACTGCAGTATTTCTTTGGCCTTGTGCTTTGGGTCACATGTCCTCCTGAAAAGTAAATGGTTTATCATTGACACCAGTCCAAGTGAATCCCAGCTCAATGTATTTTTCATTGTACAAGTGTTTTTTTTTTGTATAAATGATGTGATGTTGCTTTCAGTGATTCACTTGACATGTGGAGGGCAAAGCTCACATACTGAGTCAGTCAATGTTTGTGTGATGTCCACAGCAGGCATATTGGTTCATCAATGGATTGTGTGTTCTTGTACCACCTACAGGCATTCTTCTGAAGAATAAAGGTCTGTGTATCTCTTCAAATAAAGTACCCTTATACCATATTTGCAGTTTTGTTTTAGTTCTTTTGATGTGTGAAATAATTCACACAGCACCAAACAGTAAGAAAATGGTTACTGAAAAATTACATTTATCACAAATCATTAGAATGTAGAGACTTACATTTTGTCATTTAAAGATTTATCTTGTTATCCTCAAGATAAGAGAAAATATATTGTCCCATCAAAATAACTATAACAGTTTGAAGAGTGTGAAACAAATTGTTGAAGTTTGATGCTCTCTTGTTTTGCTTGTAATTTTTCTTTGAAGTTGGTGGAATGAAAGTAAAAAATGAGTCGACAGATCTATAAACAGATGAAAGAACTGATCGTCTTGTTGTAATGGTGGAAGGAGAGATAGGCCACAGCCACCTAAAAATAGTACAAAAGAAGGAAATAGAGCAGGTGTGTGTTTTTAGAAATATTTTACATTTACTTTATGCATTACACAGTGGGCAGTAGGTGTAGCACACAAGGACTCAGCAATGTCTTGTTAATAAAATTAGGTACATAAGAATCTAAGAAGTGTTACAAACAAAAGTAGGCTGTTCAGCCAATATAGCCTTTTGGCAGATAGTAGCTAATTGATAGAAAGATCTCATCGAATTGTAAAAGAGGCCAGAATATCAGCTTCCATACTAACATACCCTTTTGGGTACAGAATTGTTTTCTGTTCTCAATTTTAAATTAACTTCCATATTTCATTTAGTTTCCACATGTGTCTTTTGCTTTACATTTCACTGTTATTCAGAATTCTACTGGGTTGACTTTCAATATTTTGAATACTTGAAACATATCTTGTCTATGTTATAGACTGAAAGGTTTTGGTTCCTTCAGCCTGTCAGTGTAGGAAATTCCCTTAAGATCTGTAATCAATCTGGTTGCTCTTCTCTGGACTGATTCCAGACCTACGTGGTGACCAGAGAAAATCACAGGAAACGTTAATCACAAAGCAGAACAAAGAATCATATGTTTCCAGTATGAAATGTGACACGGAACAAATTAAAGGTCTATTCCATGCTTTATTCCACGGTGACCCAAAGAAGGCTCCACAGCCAAAACGTTGTGTTTCTTCTCTTCTCTTTTTAGCATGGAATAAACCTTTAACTTGTTCCATTGCAGCCTACGCAAGCTGACACATCTACCAACTTGAAAGGTGATACACTGGCAAAATGAAAACATTTCAAAGATAGTACCCTAGTATCCAAGTATAACACAGTCCTCACAGCTTTGACACTAAAACCTGATCAGCCTCTGTAGAGACTGTTATGGGTTGTTCTGTCACTCTTCCTGTGTAGCTACAGCGATCTAGCAGAGGTTAACCAATTTCCTGTTGATGGTACTGGTAGGTAAGCTGGTCCCACAGACATTCTGTTGAACTCAGGTCACGAGAACAATGTGGCTATGGCAGGATGTCAGCATTGATTTCTTGAAGGCATGGATCTAGCACTGTGTCACCTTTGCATTGTCCTGCTGGAAAAGTGACATGGCTTGTGGGAATGTAAAAAGATATAGGTTCAAGGAATTCATCAATATATTATTGAGTAAGACTGCCTTCAGTCTGCACCGGAGGCATTCTTGCGTTTAAGGATATAGCTCCTCACGTCATCACACTTCCACCATACAATAGGTTGACTTGAACAACACAACAGTCAGTATAACATTCTTTGCATCTCTACATGATTGCAGTTTGAGAACGGTTACGCAGTTGGATCAGACAATGCTGTAACTTCCAGAACATGATCTGTCCTTTACAGAGCCAGTTTAGTGGATTCTCTGGATAAGTCTGCAGATTCTCAGACAACAGGCTGCTTTCAAGCTAGTAGCAATCTTCAGTACTTAAGAGGGGTACTATTTTATCTTTCACTGTTCAAAACTAAGTTAAAGATTTTGAATGACTACACAGATTCGCAATCAAGTACTGTAATTGTAACACTTTTTACTAAAATTTCAAAGCTGGATCTTTGTGAAATTACATGTGGATTGTAATTTGGCTGCAGCCAAAAATCAAAAACATTCTTTTTAAACACTACAGCAGAAAGTAGTAGAAAGCTTTAAGATGAGGAGAGATACATTTTTTTCTGTTTTTGTTCATAACCTTTAGTGAGGTATTTGTAATGATAACATTGTGTCAAACATGCAACATACTGTATATCTAGGGAAGATAGCCAGATGTGTTGAATGCAGAATGATCCTTCTCCCTTGTGAGAGCTGCTGTGATGTTTTGTGAAACCAAGAGATTTGAAAGCCCTCTCTTCCTGTTTCCACAGATCCTGCTTGAGAAGACATCAGCAATGGTGTATGACCAGTCAATGGATAATATAAAGCCCTCCTCACATTCGACCCTCTTTACTTACCTCCTGTTCCAGAATGCCAGTCAAAAAGACAACACAACCCTCCTGGCTGGGCTGATACGAGCAGAATGCAACAAGGATGACTCCATCCCCCAACAGAATGACACCTTTTCCACCTATGAGTTGACACCTGGAGAACTTGTAGCTACCAGCATGGTCTTTGGAGTACTCTGGCTAATCTCTGTTTTTGGGAATGCCTTGGTCTGCTTGGTAATTCACCGCAGTAGGAGAACTCAGTCCACGACTAACTACTTTGTGGTGTCTATGGCATGCGCTGACCTGCTTCTCAGCCTGGGCTGCACCCCTTTTGTCTTGCTCCAAGTGACGTCGGGCCGCTGGATGCTGAGTGGTGTGATGTGCAAGGTGGTCAGGTATGTCCAGTACCTCTCCCCTGGTGTCCAAGTCTATGTCTTACTATCAATCTGTATGGACAGATTCTATACCATTGTTTACCCACTGAGTTTCAAAGTGTCTAGAGAGAAAGCCAAGAAGATGATCATTGCCTCTTGGGTTTTTGATGCAGCCTTTGTGTCTCCGTGCTTCTTTTTTTACGGCTCAGTACAGGACAACAGTTGCAATTTCTTCCTCCCAGATACGTGGGAGGGAATTATCTATGGCACTGTCCATCTTCTTTTTGGGTTTCTTCTCCCTTCTGTTCTCATTCTCTTGTTCTATCAGAAGGTTGTCAAGTACATTTGGAGAATAGGCACCGACGGTCGGACAGTAAGGAGGACCATGAACATAGTTCCTCGGACTAAAGTGAAGACTATCAAAATGTTCTTGATGCTGAATTCAGTATTTCTATTGTCCTGGCTGCCATTCTATGTTACACAACTCTGGTATCCCAAGGACTGGAACTCAAGGCAAGGGGCTTTGGTTTTCATGGTAGTTACCTGGATATCTTTCAGCTCCTCAGCATCCAAGCCTACCCTCTACTCCATTTACAATGCCAATTTCCGGCGTGGAATGAAAGAGACCTTCTGCATGTCTTCAATGAAGTGTTACAGGAGCAATGCCTACACAATCACCACTAGTTCGAGGATAGCCAAAAAGAACTATGTGGGAATAGCAGAAATACCTGTGCCTGCAAAGACCATCACCAAAGACTCCATATATGACACTTTTGACAGGGAAGCAAAAGAGAAAAAGCTTGCATGGCCTATCAATACAAACCCACCAAACACATTTGTATAACCTAATTTAGGTACTTGGATGCACAATGAGAACAACATTAGCAGCAAGAAAATAATAAAGCTTTATCTGTATCTGCAGTCATCACCTTTCTATAAATTGTGCTCTACGCAATGGCATTTTATTAACTTTCATTTTGCAAAATACTTTGAATGTCTTTTTTAACTTACAGTGTATCTTAATGCAATTTAAAATTGTCCTTTTAACATTACATTGAAGCATTGGTACAAAGTGTGTTTTGATGCAATGTAACCATATAGCAATATCATACAGATGTCAGAATGGAGATAGTGGGCTCTGTCTCCAGAGACACAGTGGCTGTGACCAGGAAGCCCTAGTTCTGCTGCTCTAGGATGTGGACAGATGATTATGGCTTGTGAATCCCAAATCAGATACTCTGTATCAGCCTGGCCAGTATTGACCTTTAAGGCAGGGAAGACTTTGACATTACTCTGGTCAACCTGGTCAAAAAGAATCCAAGGATTGTGAAAGTGCACGTGAAAGCACACTTTAGCATTGGCTTGGCTTCTCTAAGAATGGGTATTGTTCATGAGGATTGTGTCCCCTCTCTAGCTGCCACCCAAGCTGTATCTTCTTTCTACAGAGAGACCTGACCTGCGGAGTATGTTTCTGAAGATCACGCTGTTTGTGTTTCTCCTAGTGCACCGCAGGCTTGTTGTGGGCAATGTAGATAAATACTCATTAAACAGGGATACAGTGGGGGCAACTAATTACTAATGAATCTGTCAGTTACTTTTTGCTGAAAAGATTCATTTTCATGTGGAATCAAACATTTGGCCACAATCTAATTGATGCATTATGACAACAAAATAAGTGTATCATTTCTTGGGCCTGTATTGCAAAATGTAATTAGGGTGGTGAGGACTCTATAAGCACTGAAAAGGTTGCACTCTGTTTGCCACCAGTGCTGAAGATGAGAAAATGAAAGGGAGAGTTTCCATAATAGCTGAATAATCTGCTATACATTTTTAACCAACTCTTAAAATTGTTTTTCTTTCTCTTCCTCTGAACCAAACATTTTGCTGTTGTGTTAATATTATTATTTTTTAAATCACTGAATATTTTAACTGCGTCAGAAATACCTACTAGTACAATACATTTTACAACTACAGTTCTTCAGAGCCTATTGTACTTAATTATGGTAAATCAGAAGATGTCAGAATGCCAAACTGTTCCAATATCAGAATAAGCAGCAACAATGTATATGCAGTGAAGATGTCAGTTTCAGTTTCTCTTTATTTCCCGTTCTATAGAAGCCAGAGTTTGCAGTAGATAAATCACTTATGAAATAATAAATTCACCTGTAAAACTAAACAATATTTTATAATATTATTTCAATTAGTGAAATATATTGATATATACACAAACATAAACACAATCTGGAACACATTAAAATAAAACAGATCATGTGATTTCCTCATGTGTAGCTTTCTTCACACTGGGCACAAGTTTATTTCCAAAAATTATGTATATACATTGTACATGTATTCACATGTTTTTGAGAAGTTGGAATTCAAATCAAGGCAGAGTAGTAATGTATTGCAGAATAAAAAAGTTGAATCACAGGTAGCAGGAATCTACTGCATTACAGTACTACTGCATTACTACTGCATTACATTGCACTAAATCTCCAATTACATAGTACTTTAATGATTCTGAACTCTGCCAGATGAATGAAGCACAGGTCTACACCAATTTCTGGAATTCCCATGAAGCACTGATAAGTCCAATCCAGCATCTCCACCCTCTCTTGAGGTAACTACAGCGAGGTGGTTTCCAGAACAGATCCATATTCAAGAAATCCTTACACATTTCATAATTATTCATATGCAATTATTTTTAATGCAATTATTAAGAAAAAAAGATAATTTCCTTATTATTGAGTTTCCTTTTTAGCAGAAACAAGCTGATTTCAAAGTGAAAGAGGAATTTTCAAGTCAGAGCACTCAGAAGCACCTCTTCTGACAAATGCTTAAGACAATACTGTATATGCTTTCTAGAATCCCTGATTTCTGTATACAATTTAAACTGTCAAAACATCTCATTTCTAACTATATACAGTAGGGAATGTAACTGCATTGCACTTCAGTTGAGGTGTTCAGAAAACACTGCATTTACCTCCAAATAGTTTTGAACATTTAAATACTTAATCATTATTCTGACAGCCTAGCACTTTCATATAAAGTAATAATGAATTGTTCTGCCACAGTAAAGCACATACAATCCATCAAAACATGGAATAAATAATGTTAAGTACTGTGTTAAATTTACAAGAGGGTGATTTTGTGCATTTAAGACAGCAATATTTTTCACTGTCTGCAGTAAAAGATCTAGTTATATAAAGGGCGTTATACACCCCTTGGTATTCATATTCTTACAAAGTTGAGCATGCTTTTATAGATACAAGGCCACCAAAGACCTGACAGATATTCACTTCTAAAGCATCTTGGCAAGTTTTAAAGCCCTAATAAAAACTGTCTTTTTCAAAATGGAGACGTACAGTATGCATCTGCTTATCATATTGACTAGAAACTAAAATGGAAGGCTAAACAAATGTATTCGTATCTTGTAGGTAACACATTTCATTTTTCACTTTCTTCTAATTTTTTAAACAGCAAACTATAAGTAATATTTTATAGATACAAATATTACTTTAATTTTGGTTCACATTCGTTTTGTGTCTTGCAAAATTATGTACCATCCTCACTGCTATATTTATGTACAAATAATGTTTAACCCCATTGCTTGAAATAGCACAAATATCACGTTTAAGTAGATGAGCGTTAGAATATTCTGGTATTCTGAAGGTGCTAGTAGTACATTGCATTGCATGTTGGTTAACTTATCCATGTCATTTGGTTCGCATTCAGTGCCGAGAAGGCTTTTCAAAAGCTATTTTTGTTAAAGTACCGAGATGACATCATAGGTAATCTATAGCAGAAATGAACATGAGTAACAGGAAATGGAGCTAGAAAATAACACTCAGGAAGGACTGTAGGAAACTTCAGATGATATGAACCAATCATGAGAATGTACTAAAGTAATGAATAAGGAGTCCATGTTACCCTTTGTGCAGAACAGGTCACTAGGAGTTTCTTAATCTAAGGAATTTATCAAGCAGGTGTTCCACAATTCGTACTTTCAGTCCAGAATATGTTGAACCTTCGTTTTCTTTTGTCCCCTCTGTTCCTACGTCCAAAGAAAGTTTGATCTTGTGATTGCAGTTGCCTTCATCAGTGTTGTAAATATCTCAATCGCAAATCATGTTCTTGTACTTCATTTAATATCGTTTTTTAAAATTTCTGTCCTCTGTATCATTCCTGTCAAAGTTCTAAGTGTTTTATTAGACCTCCAAAATGTCATAAATGCACAACATGAGACCATTTGTTGGCAGCAATTTTTTAAAAAAAATCAATGAATTGTATAATAAATGACAAAGACTCTGAGATCAATGATAAAGACGAGATGTGTATTGTTAATAGATAAGTATCTATTGTTTTGATATTCTACATTCAAGACAATAAACTCAGATTAAATAGTTAGGCTTCACTGCTCACAACACCACTGTCAAACCTAACCAACGGCCCCATGTTATGTTTTCTACAAGTAACTCATACAAAGGAGTCAAAGGAGATGCTAGACCAGCTTTAATAGCATAAACTGTGAGTTATACTAACAAAAAATAGATATTTGTAATTTAAGCAATCAGACATCATATATCTTTTTTTGGAAATGTAAAAATATAGCTTTGCCACTCACAATAAACTTTACAATACTTACAATTGAACAACAGTAAGGAAAAGTAAGTAATTGAAGAGAAGGTGACATTCACAAAATTTACTCAGACATGCAATTGTTTCTAAAACTTAAACATTGATTAAAAACAGCATAACTGTCTAGAAAATTCAATTCTTCCAACTCCAACCCATGGAGTCTGCAAAAATAATTTTACTTTTTCCTGCATTAGTTTCAGCCAGATATATTAACAAACAGGATGTTTTTCCAACTTTTCATTTTTGAGTGTTTTTAATACAATACTACAGAGCGGATATATTCAGCCCTGCTGAATTTCCGATAACACTTACAATAGGAGTTGAAACTGCAATTCACATAATGTGATTAATGTAATACATTAATAAAGTATTAACAGAGTGATATAAGTGTGCTAATAATCAACATCCATGGTAGATTTACTGCATCATTATAACAAAACCATAGCCCTAGGATTATTTACAGAAGGTAACTTATTACACCTATAATACTTTATGAATGTATTAACAGTTAGCTTTTTATCTTTGGGGATCAGTGATTGGGGTTCCAGACTCAAAACCGGGAGGATGTGTGTTTATAATCCAGCTGAGATATGGCAGGTACTTCACCCATATTGCTCCAGTAAAATACCCAGCTGTATTTTGCTAGGTAAAAATTTAAATCAATGTGGATAAAAATATCAGTCAAATTAATTAATTTTCCAACCCCTAAACTAAAGTGTGACTTTTTTTCTAGTGCAAGCTATAATTAAAGTGCAAAACATAACCGGACACATTTGTCAATTAATTTGACTTAGATGGAGGCTAAAAGAAGATAGCAGGTAATATTGATTGAGGTGTAACACAACTCCAAGAAATATGAAACAGCAAATGAACAAATGCCTGTTTCCTTCAAATATGACCCAACATATAACATATAATATAGTAATGTATGCATTACTGTGAAGTTTGTTTTATCCACACAGTTAAAACGTGCTTAAAAACCTCTGAACAGTGCTCACTGGGCTCATGTGCTTTACTGTGTTACTTTTTACATCTGGCATCCTCTTTGGGTAGGATTTCTGCAATTGCAAAATTCTTACATTACAGAGCAGCCTGGTATGTAAAATCATTGAGACCATCTGCAGTAGGTGCCTGTGGTAAGCCAAACAAATGGCAAGAACTCCAGGATCTGCTTCACTGTGAAGTGCATGGCACTATAACAGGATAGAACTTTATTCAGTAAACTCAAAAATAAGATTTCTTGTTTCAAAGCCTTCACAATGAACTGTTTAACAAAACGATTTCCAATTACAGCTTAAAGAGTATTTCAGCCACTATGACTGAACTACAAGCACTCTTAGCAACAGGACAGAAAATAGACATGAAAACACATTAATAGCTCTAAACTCAAAAGTGCATCAACATAAACAGCTAACAAAAATTTGAACACATGAAAACAATAAATATTTTTTGCATTGCAGATTTTGTCAAAATTATATACTGTACTAGGAGAAGTCATTACACATCACAATAATGGTATAATCGCTATACATATACAATCTACTATTATTGAAATGTTACAAACTATAACAAAGGAGGCATGACTTTCAAAAGTACAGGTTGCTTTTATCAAATTCTCAAACAAACGTACTTGGCAATCATGTTAAATAGGTTTCTGAAGCTCTTCACAATACAGGTAGGAAGTTCAAGTTGCAGTCTAGTTAAAATTCTACTACATTCTTTCACAAAAGCTTCTTTAGGCAGTAATTTTTTAAAAAATGTATTTTTTCACAGGTTAAATGAATAATGTCATGTTTATACTGCCTAATTTAGTGTAAATGGACATTGTCCAAAACTAAAATAATCTGTTTAGCTATGACCCATCTTTAAAGTACTCTGTATTAATGTTTATCTTGATATTCTATGCTACATTCAAGATAGCTGTGGATAAGATTAAATGCAGACAGATTTTCATATGCTCGGTTACAAATTTAACACTTTTTAACATAAACAATGGGCTAGTTAAAATGCATTGGTCTTTTAAGTGAAGAGTTTAAATGAAGAGATGCATTTAATTTGCCAAACAACATGCATCCCAACATGCAAGGCTATACATAATCATGTTTAGTACATGGACTGCAGTACATGTGTACTTACAGACTCAATATATATATAGACTGATATATAAAAGAAAAAATCTGAAATTAGCATTAATCAGATACACATCAAAGTAGTCTTTAGAAACTTATTTTAGACCCACCTTTCTATCTTAACATTCAATATAATTATATGATAAAAATCTTTTTTTTTATTTCATTATAAATGATCTCTTGGTGATGCAAGGGACTTAAGTGCTCAATTCAATATTCAAATAAATATTATTGTTGTAATTGCCATTTTATATTCAGTAGTATTCAGCCAATACAAGCCAGAACTCAACTCGGGGTACACGGATGGCTTATTAAGGCCATCTGTTTAGTGCCTACACTGCATATGAAGAGCTCTGCAGTTTGCAAAGTCACGGGTCAGGTAACAAGTTTCTTAGAGTGTCCTTTACAACTATCCACTAAAAGGAGGTATGTCCCTAGGGAGACATGGGACATGGGGTCTAAGAAGTGACAGGCTGGTGCAGGAAGACCATCTCAGTATGTAAGAAGTAGAATTAGCCACAACAGGAAACAGCTGATTCTCTCTTATACTCCGGAACAGAAAGAAGCAAAACACTCTGAATGAGTTTCACTTTTCTGCAGATCCAAAGCATCACCATTTCAGCCTACGCTTTTTGTTACGAAACATAACTAGTATCTTTGATCGCATAATGGAATTATAACTATACTTAGGGGGAAAGGGCTGCGGTTTTTATAATTGAGGAAAGATTTGTTTTAGTATCTGCCAGTAACAGCTTGAATCTCTGGAATGCATTGCTTGGTACAGAGTAACAACTCTATATATGTTACAGAGCAGATTATCTTGTAAAGGATCTTTTGTTGTTCAGAATCCAGCATTGTCTCCCTATTGTCTGCCACGTGGCTTTTAGTTTGCACTAAGGCTCGTCTATCTTTTCAGGAACGAGAGTAGCTTTGGACTGTAAAAAGCCTGGGTTCAGGGACTTGCAGTCTTTGCTAATAATTTGTAAACAGTAGTATACTGTATGTGTTGATTTGTTAGCTTGCAATAATGTGTAGTAAATAAATATTTGGCTTTTAAGTTTTTGCCTCCTTGTTGCTCCAGCATTTCACTGCAAAAGGGAAAGCACTGTGCCAGAGTAGCAAATAAACCATGCAAACTGCTTGGTAGGCTTACATTCCTGATAATAGAGAGCACGTAGTTATTTTGAATTTAAATTCATTCACTGTTACCTTTATATAACACTCCCTATTTATAACTATCTATTAACAGCAAAAAATGGAACAAAAAGTATTCAGATCAATAATCACTATACAACATATGTCTTAAATTAAGATAATGTTACAAATATATCCTCATTGTAAGGGGACATTCAAGACGTTTTTGTTCTCATTTTCTCTAAGAAATTACATTCTATATCATGTATGTTTTATCAAAATGGCACTGATGAACTCTTAGAAGATTTGTGATCTTATAAAAACAAGAAAAGGAAATAATGATCTTATAATTTATATCTATATAAAGACGGAAACAAATTAATCTTCCTTAATTTTTAAGTAACATTTACCATGAGCAACAGTTGCAATATCTAGCTTCATGGAACCTCATTCCTCTAAAGTGCTAAATAACAGACAGGTTTCGATATAACAGGTGAATTGCAAGAAGGTGAATTAATATTGTAATCACATTTAAATGTAGTGAACTGTCTCCTGTTTGCTAGCCTTTGCTGTTTCAAAAGCACCAAACAGGAAACCATATGTAACACTTTATGCCACAAAACTAGGTAGAATACTGGTAGGGCTGGGAGACAGTATCTTCGTCATGTCATGTCCTTCCATGCCACCTAATACTTGCCCATATCCTGTTATAACATCAGTGAAATAAGATGCATCACACATGTGCTGCTTTCTCAAACTGACCTAATTAGAGTAGGCATTAAACCCAGCAGTTTACATTTGTTTTTTCATTTTGAGTCACAGGCAGTGTAAAACTGGTGTGTGAAATAGATTCAAAAGGCTCATTTTGTATTTAAAAAAAGGGGGGAGTTTCCGAGACGCTCCACTAGTAAAGAGCTCTACGATGATGTGCTTGAGCCTGTGTAATGTCTGTAGCCCATTGTGACTGGGTTTCTGCAAGCAGTACTGCACACAAATGTCTGAGTGCTGCCAAGGGTAGGTTAGGGGCTTTCTCAGCTCTCACTGACAAGGATGTAGCATGCAGGTGCTGTCAGTGAAGGGTGCACCTCTCCACCTGTTGGCATTGAATCTCTGTTGCCCATGTGTTAAAAGACAAATGGCGTGTTGGTATGCAGATTGGAGGGGCCAACCTAAACTTCCTCATTCTCCCCTCTGTGCAGTTGTGGGGTTCATAACTCCAAGCTAAGATGTCAAAAGTACACAATGGGCTGTTCTAAATCATGGGACAATGACTAAATTGACTTGCAATTTAATGAAAAATATGAGAATCCCCCTGTTTAATTGAAAATAAAATGTATTATTCAGAAACATTGTTTCAAGGTATCCTTATCCTTATTCCAGAGTTTCTTTAGTGAAAGCTGCAAGTTCTTAAACTTTCTTCCTGCCAATGCCACATGCACAAATACTACAAAGATGTACACCATCTTAAATGTGTGTGCTTATAAAATGTTTGTCTTAATAGCTGTATAACCCTATTGTACTTTTATGGGCCAGCATGTATGAATCTGTGTGAGGGGCAGGGGAAAGGGATTCACCTATATGAGTAAGCGAATATTACAGACACTTAGTCACATTTTCAAATCACTGTTTAGGGCCTCCCAAGAGGCAGAAATGATAAAGTTGTGTGCCTGAGCACAGATTGAGCACTATGATCATGTGTTCATTTCAAGAACATGCCACTAGCCAACTCTGACCAGGATTCCCCAAGCGGCACTACACAGCTTTCTAAATGCCACTTAGTGTAGGGTACGATAAGTAGGACAGGGCTCTCCTAGCAACACAGCAACCCCTGCAGCCTTGCAGGCACTTGGTGGTAGCGTCGGGCTTTGGGTAAGAAACACACCTCTCCTGTAATTGGCGCTGAAGATCTGGTTTCAACACAGAGGTGCTGCCTGTGACGTGTAGAAAGATGATCGGTTTGAAGGTGGATGGGTCAGAGGTGTCTTCCTACATTTTCTCACTTTCAACTGTTTCGTCGCAGAGTTTGTTGCTGAGAGCTGAAAAACACACAACCAGCTGTTCTAAATTGGGTGAATGTAGCAAAAATTATCAGCGATTCTATTTTTTTTTTAAATAATGCTTAAACAACTACAAGGGCAAATTTTGCAGGGAAGAACTGCGCATCCTGATGCAACCTACTGGTCAGCTTCGATGAAGATACAAGCCAAGTTTCCAAAAGGAACAAAGTTCCTCTTCAATGGTGACTTGTATACATTAGTAAGCCTAGTATCACGGAATGATTAAAGCCTGTTTAAATATTCAGAGCACTTAACAATACCTTTCATTAAAGTAAGACATACTAAACAGAGGACATTGGTTTCCAGCCACACATTTTAGCATTATTTGCTTATTTTAATATCAAATACAACCCAACTAACAGGTTTAGGTGCTTGTCCGCTCCATGCTGTATTATGGCAAATTTGTAGTAAGTAAATACGCACACGAGCTCACCATCGCAGGGCTGTCCGAATATGACTATATAGGTTCTTCACTCTGGAAAAAAAAATAATCAAAAGCAGAGTAGTTTCAAAATGCAATTAGTTTAGATCTAAATGCTTTTTTCTAAATGGTGTTTAGCAGTCTATGCACAATTGGCATTTTATATCTTATATCCCACACCATTCTTTGCCTTCTCTGTATCTTTCCTCACCTTAACCCAATGTATGAGGATACGTTGGATAAAGGTAGAAGGTAATTAATACACAATATTAGAGGTCAGAGTCCAGTGCTCTTTGTAGTTTCCCTGTAAAATAAAGTAAAATACATTTTCCTGTCCGGGTCGTCATATAATGCTTAACGAAATGACTGCTTACAATAGTCTGCATAGACACTTACATTGTCCACAGCTGGCTGTGTTATTCTTGCCATTCTTGATGGTCTTGCTGCTGCTTTGTGAGGTCTTATGCTCATCCCCTGTCAGCAAAGCCTTGATTTCAGAAGGAATCTTTCCTTGATCCATTGCTGAGCACCACTGCTTGTACTGAAACAAACATGGAAAGCTGACTGAAAAAATGACCCCCTGACCCACATACAGACACACATGGTCATCACAGCACACTATTGTATGGTTGTAACCATCACGCTGCGAGATTAACATACAACAGGAGTTCAACCTCATAAAACACCTGTAAAGCAACATGGCACTTCCCCAATGTTTTTTTTTTTGCCAACCCAATGATCCAGAATGAAAGTGACATATAAATAAAGATAAACTTAATGAGTCCTTAAAACCCAAGAGTTTGCTTTTGTAGTTACTGCAAAGAACACAAAACAGCCAACAAGTGAGATATACACAAGTATCTGATCCCTTTGATCCTTAAGTGCTACAATACTGAATAGAACATGACTCAGAAAAGCTTTACTTGTTTATTTTGCTTGTATTTCTAAACTTTGTTCTTATAAAAATACAGCATAAAGAAAGCAGCCACTGTCAAATCCTGACCCTCTTATATTGTTTGATAGCCTGGAAACCCTAGTAGATCTTAAGCCATGCCTTGCTCTGGTTTATAGCATTATATAAAATAATCTAGATACAATGTGGACACCTGGCTATTGTCAAAATTTCCAGCTTCAAATCAAGGGGAAGTTTGCCGAGATGTAAGGGTCCCAGATTCAGTGATCAAAGCAATTGTTAAGTTACCTTATTGAAGTTCTGGGTAAATTATTAAGGGTCAATCAACAGTCAAGGAACACAGGGAGCAAGAAGGGGAACGAGAGAAGAAAAATCGGAGACCACTCGAGAATAGAAAAAGACGAGAGGAAGAAAGAGAAGAGGGTAGGAGAGAGCTCTTGGTTCCAGTTCACCTGGAAAGATCAGATTGGAGTTGAGTACTTGTACCTTGGTAAGAGAGCTTGCTATTCTGTGGTTTTAAGGGAACTTTGATTTGCTGTGTAAAGAACCCCTCGGTTAACAACGGTTTCTCCTAGTTAGTGAGTGCATTTTTAGAACAGAAATATAGATCTCAAAGCTCATTCTTAGTTACAAAACACTGGCTACCTTCTCCATATTTGAAGTAGACATCTAATAATAGACACACTGTATCAACCACTCTGGTTCAAGCACACTGATTGATCTGCTGTTTGGAAAATTTCCATAACAACTGTAGGAGGCAGAGCCTCGTTTTACTTAATTTTTTAAAACTTAGCTGGCCAATCTAACATACTTTCCCATTCTTTCCTTCCACTGTTTCCACGGGTTCTGGCCCTGTGGCCTACAATTGGTAATGAGAATCTATGTCTAGTTGACCTCTGACACTACACCCAGGATACCAGACCCAGGAAGAGTTTGCAAGATCTTCAGTAACATACTCAGATTTTAGACCACATAAATCACTCTATGATTTGTGGCCTCCATATGAAACAAAATCTATATAATAACTAAACTACAATATGAACTTTGCCTTTTATGCATCAGTAGATAACCCTAGAGAGGACTCCGCCGTCTCTGGAGAGGAGGCAACTTCTGGGACAGGGAATTATTTTCTGTCTTGGAGAGTTTTAGGTTTGCTCTCTTCCATGCACAATGGTCTACTACAGCAGTATATAAAACATTTATTATACAACAGTCTGTGAAGCACTCTTTATATTTACTACAACAAATAAAGACTGACTAACATGACCTTTGCTTCCACTATTGATTATTGAGATGTATTTATTTATTTTTATTAAAATATGTGGGTAAATGGCTATTCTGATTCATAAAAACACTCTACGAATGTCACTGATCTAATTTTGTTATCACTACGCTGCCTGATCTTGAAGATTCTCCATGATATCAGTGTTTCTGAAGAAGCTGCAAATACATTAGTCTAAGTTCACAGTCAACCCCTTCTAAGGCCATCCATTTGATCTATTCCCTGTTGTATGGTTTTGCACATCACTGAAATAACTCCAGATTAAAGTGGCTTCATGTGTGATCACAAAACACAGCCTGGTAGCCTAAGCTTGTTTTTACACAATCCCACTGTTTCAGATGGCCTACCATCTCCAGCTCCTCCCGCAATGCACAGATGGCTCTCTCCTTGCTGGAGACCAGCTCTTCCAAGTACTGGTATCTGAGCTTCTTCCTGGCCCGGCACTCTCTTGCACTCTGCCGGCTCCTCTCCAGCTTAGCCTTCAGGTCGATCTTAGCTGGCTTGCGGCCACGCTTGCCTGGTTTCTTCACTTTGCCTCCCACCATCTGCAAGAATACAAGGACATCGGTTACCAAGGCCTCACTTCATAGCAGTCTTATACATTCAGCATAAGTTCTTATCCTGTGCCTATTGTGCACAGGATTCCCAGGCTCCTAGTGGACAAATGTTTGTCTTGTTTGTCTGTCAATCCCAAAAGTCATACGCTTGCCTGTATTTTCTTTTAACCTCTAGAAATGCTGCAGGTGCTTATGCAACATGCCTGTTTTGTTCCACATTCACGTACAATTTTGAAACCGCTCCTTCTTCTTTCACTTTCCCCTTGCCTGAGAATCTCCCGCCACACGAATGGAAAAAGCATTTCAAAGCAATTGAAAAACATTTTTTTTCAAATAACACTAGATATTTGTTTAGTGGAATACAAGCCACAAGGGGTGTTCCTGTGAATATAATGTTCCACTACAGTGACACTTCTTGTAAAATCACAATAAGAATGGGGGAAAAAGGTTATCATTAGACTTTTGCGTAGGAAAAAAGAAAACTGATGAGGATGGAGTTTAGAGGGACACTTTGGCTTTTGAGCTGTGAGTCAAACTTTACGTTGTTCCCATTATTTTTACAATTTTAAGTGTGACAACACAAGTACTGTACACAGTACTGAATAAACTACAGAATGTTTCAATGCAAAAAAATCTAAATAAAAACGTAGAAACATGATTTACATATATCACTACAGGTCTACGGAATTCCTTTTTTATATCTATAAATATCAGTACAGTCATAAAATGCAGACGACAATATTCTCAATATTAGGAAACTGAAATCAACCTAAATATTCGGATGATTAAATTAAGCCATGTTTGGTTGATCATTCTGACTGGCTTTCGAAAGACTAATCACACACATCGTACAGTGCAACGTAAAACAAACTGGCTGATACTGTTAACTGAGGAATAACTCAGCTTCTGAAATGAAGAAAAGTTCCTTACCTTACTGTCATCCATTTTGGACCGTCCAAGCTACTGAATTTCCTTCAACAGAAGATAAACGATCTATTTTAAATTTACAAAGACGTGGCAAAATAAGACGGTAATAAATCAATGACACGGGTCAATGCAAAATAACGAACGTTGCGAAAAATATGAGTATTTTTACGAGAAAACATCAACTCTTCGCATTGTTTACTTCTACTCTCCTGCTTCCTGTTACAATTGCTTCAAAACAGCTGATCCCCCCCCCCCCACTTTGGAATGATGGGAGTTGATGTTCTTTCTCCGAATGGACGACGGTCCATGTTAAAGCTCAAACTGATCTACAAAGACTACAACACCCAGATATCCGCACATCGAAAAAACACTACCTTCGTCGGTTTACGTTTTGAAAACGTCACTGTTAAGTTTTATCACTCTAAAGCTGGTCAGAAAGTGCAAATAGCGTGGATGAAAATTTAGGTTTCTTTATTGCAGTATTTATAAAAATATCAAGTAAATAAGAAAAAAAGAAATAAGAATGTAAAAGTATTTCCATATAAGTATCGTAAATATATGTTTTTTTTGTTTACCCCTCAGTACATTAATATTGAGGTTTTATGGTTTACAAAATAATAACAAGAACATATTTGGGATATATTTAAAAAATATGAAAGAATATTTTTCACACATAGATAACAGACGAAAACAATGGAACCCAATGCAATGAAAAATCACATTAAATACAGCTGGGTCACTACATTCATCCTGTACAGTCTGTTTGCACCATGGCATAATGCCTGTAATTCTACAGGAGAGACACAATTAATCAATGGGAAAGTCAATTAGGTCATTCCTGGTTGAAGGAGGTCAAAAATGCTCTCAGGCAGCAACATGGGGTGAACATAATCCATCAGTACCTTAAAGTAATTAGCAGCAATTAGCATTGACCTTGACCTTCTAAGGGAATGAGTGCATTCAAACCATACTATATATGTATATAACCATACAATAAAAACAATGTGCCCCACAACCTTACGGAAACTCCAGAAACCTTCACTGTTGAAACCAAGTGCTCAGAAATACATTGTTCTTTATGCTGGCACAGTGCTTGAAGTAGAAAAAAAGGAAGCGCTGTTACTTAACGCTGGTAAAATATTTGATAGAAATAGGCCTCTTTATTAGTTTACCGCCTGTTAAACTAGCCAAGTTCAAATTCAGATGGATTGAGCTACATGTGCACTCAGCCGTGTGCTGAGAATGTGGTGAAGGATGATTAATCTGACCACTTCACACTTCTGCTCTGCTCGGTAGTGCATTGTCTATTTGCACTACTGGATTTGCATAGTCAAATGTGAAGAGTGATTTGTGCACTGCAACCCAACAACTGTATGTTATTCTGCTCTGTCGAGTTCTCAATAGACGGGTATTGATGAAGCTGTCCGCTCATGCCCCTGGTTGAAACGTACAGCCAGCTTAACTGCAGTTGTTCGTCTGTTTTGCCTTGCACTTCAATTCAATGCACAGATATTATGATCCTGGAGTAAGTGCTTCGGCCCACTGTTGCTTATGAAGTCATCATCGTGGACAGTGTTGTTAATTAAACATCACCAGAATGTTGAGCTGTCTTGGTCACTGAAGCTCCTGTCAAAGACGAACCAACGATCATTACTCTTTCAAAACCACCGAGTTCTCCACTGACTTTGTGACCTTAGGCATTCTAGGATGTTATTTGTTTAATTATTGCATGAGCCAAATCTGTATGGAGGCCCTTGCTTTCAATACACTCTGTGTTCATCATTTACCCAGATAATTCCATTTTTGTCCACTATCTGTATGTACTTCACCCCTGGGGATTTTGGAAAGGTGATGCTGGACTAAATGGACTGTATTAGAGCACTATGGGTCATTGAAAACAATATAACCCAAAACTATCTATTCCTGATCATGAGTACCAGTGCATTTGAAGATTTTAAAATTTTTAAAGCAGTTGTTTAAAGTTATTAACACTTCAGGATCGAATATGACCTTTCAGGATTGGATGTACCTGGTGTATTCAGGTACACCAGGTGCATCCAATCCTGAAAGGTCATATTCGATCCTGAAGTGTTGGGTGCAGCGGTGGCTCTGTGGCTAAGGATCTGTGTCTGTGACTGGAAGGTTACTGGTTCAAATCCTGCAGCTGGCAGAGGAACCCTACTCTGTTGGGCCCCTGAGCAAGGCCCTTAACCCCAACTGCTCCAGGGGTGCTGTACAATGGTAGACCCTGTGGTCTGACCCCAGGCTCTCTCCCTGTCTGTGTGTCTCATGGAGAAAAGCTGGGGTATGCAAACAGATGAATTCCTAATGCAAGAAATTGTATAGGGCTAATAAAGAAACATTATTGATTTGTAGAGTTTACTCTGTGTTCAAGTATCTCTTGTGCAAAACTAGCATGGAACCTTTTGCAATAAAAGAGCTCCAGGAGACTATCCTGTTTTCTTCTGATCCCAAATGAGTACTTGTAAATGCCATAGTTGAAGCCAGAAAAGCAGAAAAAAATGAAGCAGCAGCTTCGACCGGCACCTACTGGAAGAGACATAACCAGTAGCAGGAGAAGAGCACTAGGACTAGTAGAAATAGGTGTGAGACCTGGCAACAAGGGTCTTCTCAGTTTCACAACCACTTGTGTGAATCCCACTGAAGAAACAGGACCTGTGTGTTGGCCTCAGGCACCATCACCACCTGGCTGTAGTTGACCCTGGGTGTCCTTAAGAAAGACAAGCCATTCCAGCAAGTCTACTGAATGATGCTGCCTGTTGCAGCCACCTGGATAGATTGTGGTATCAACAGTGGACACTCCCAGACAGCTGTGAGTCAACCCCTCAGGTGAAGCATGTCCTGCTATATCTCTGTGGTTATCACTTCCAGGCAGAGACCACCTCCTTCTGCTGGCTTCTTTTTGGGAGCTTGATGTGTAGGTGGCCCAGCAACTAGAGGCCACCACTTTGGGATGGAGCACTGCACTGGAGTTTGAACAAACATAAAGGAGTATGCTTTCTTACATAGTCTGTCCAGACTGCAAGGTGGATGCTGATGAGCTGCCACTAAATGTGGGTGATGCACACCTTAGGCTAGTGCTGGAAAAGGAAGCCACAGAAAGGAGGACATATTGAAACTCTCTGACCCCTCATTCATTATCATTAAAAAGATTGGTGGCTCTTAATGACCTCATGTTGCATCAAGACACAAGCGCTGCAGCCTGTAACAGTACTGACTATTGTACAACTAATGGAATGGGCCAGACGTGGGAAAGAGACACTGGCAGCTGCTACATTTGTGAGAACTGAAAAGGATGCAATTGTAGGGTGCTCTTTGAACCCAGCTTTATGTGAGTTCTACCTCCAATGCCTGTTCTGCTGAATGGGTTGCCTCTAGGATGTTGGTCATTTCTGAAGAATCTGTAATGTTTTTGTGGGACAGAGAAGTTCCAGTAGCCACTCTAAAGCACCCAGGCAGCAGTGCCAGATGGAGACAAAAACATCAGTGTGGACGTCTTTGGGACCTTCCTACATATGACTACATACAGAAGTAGGCAAATGATTCATTCACTTGGTCTTTGACTATTTCAGCAAGTGGCCCTGTAGACTTCCAGGATAAAGTGCCCCAACTGTGACAAAGTACAATCTTCTGAAATATGAATTAATGATCGATCCTATAATGTCCTCTCTTGGTAGAGAGTTGGCCCAGTCTGATAAACTCTGGTGTACCTGCCATCTGGGAGTCAGCTGAGTACAGACCTCCAGGTTATAGCTGGTCATGAGACATTATCCACCATTTTGTTTGTGAGCGCAGGCCTCTGCCAGAGGATAGACAGACAGGACTACGAATTGCACTTCAGGACCTTTTGTTTCTGAATAGTGGCTGAGTACTAGACTCTCACCTTAAAAGGTGTCCCCCAAACTAGTGCTGCTGTTGGAGAGGCCATGCACAGCTTTGGATGTGCTCATGGAGTACCATCTGCAGCTTGTGGTGCAGCATTGTGACTGGCTTTCACCTTACCTGGAAGGTGCTTTGTCTGTACTTCCAGAACTGAAGAGTAGAAGTGGACAGACCTGGGATGAGGATACCTGTGGATAAGGAGGCATTAGAGGAGTCCCCTAAGAATTTCTGATTCTGAAATATGAAGTAATAAACAAACAATGGTTTGTTTATATATATACTGTATAAGTGGTTTGTTTTCCCAAAGTTGTTGCTGCTTTGATTTGTTAATGCGTTGCATGTGAGCATTGTGTCACTTTTTTTTAAATCTCGGTGAAATCAGAATGCCAAATATTCAGAGGAATTAGATGAAAGTATGTGCTGCATGTATAACTTTCAAATTCTGAAACTAGATCCTTGTTGTCCTTGTTGCTGTTTCAAGGGGAAAGTGCATCTGTGAGTATAAATAGCTTGGCAGCATGCATAATGAAGATGTGGCCCTGAACTGTGTCATTTAACTGTCTGTTAGTTCCAGGGGTAAAACAGTAAGATCTTGGCGAAAGATCAGGAAGAAGAAACTTATATTCGGACTCCCTCTTGCTCTGTTTTTCATAACAAGTTTTAGCTCTTTCAAATAACCTTCAGGATACTCATTAATAACTCCATTCAGAATTAGCCAAAATATTTAGTACACCCTTTGCAAACAGTGATATTTGCTCAAATTCATTCCTTATCTAAACACCCAGAATCCCTTACTGTGATTATGGTAAAATACGGCTACAGCTCTGTAGTGCACATTGTTTTTGATTGATTTTATTTGACATATTGATATTGTTTCAAAGAATGCGATTACTGGAAGAATACAGACTTTTGTCACTGACCAGCTTTAGCTAGAAATGTAGTTTCAGTTTATATTAATTGGATGGTGTGTCAGATAAAAATTAAAGTTATCAAATCAAAGTCAGTCAGTGTTGCTTACACAAGCCGTGGTGTATAAAGAAATACAAAAATGAAGAAAAAAAGTTGTGCTATTCAGTCTGAACAACCGTGTTAAGGCAAGTGCAGACACAAATACTACATCACGTTTTCAGACAGATCATATGATGCTGACTAAAGTGGCTTCTGAAGTTGCTTAAGTATAAGGTATAGCCTTCATCATGACCAGAAGAAATACCAAGGTGAATAAAAAGCTAGAGCCGTGTGTGGTCATAGGAAATTTCCATCTTTTGTGAAGTGTGTAATTTTAAAAAATAATGGGGTAAAGTGAGGGGGTTAATGATATCTACGAAGGATAAAATAAATGGCATGTTGTAGCTGTGAA